CTGCCTTTAAGAGCAACAGCTCGTCGGTTGCAATGAGGGCAAAGTTACAGCAAAAAACTAATGGAAGATGCATCTGACCTGTAGGTATAAAGGAACCTGGTCAGTCTAAATTGTTCTCTTAGGTGCAATATCCCGTTAACATTGAAAAAACATTAGAACATGTGCAATCGATAAATCTTTTGTAGCTACAGACTGTACTAAGATAAAACGAACTGAATACGAACAAAACTCAACAAACGAATAATTTTGTAAATAAAGCACAATATAGTGAGGGATTACCGAATAGCTATAATATTTACCTCTTAATAATGAGTTACCCTCGTGGAACAGGTCATGCGGAAAAGTTGCCAAAATCACTGATGATACCAGCGAAGTAAAGTGCCCATGTGTTAGTCTATTCTCCACAGAAAATAATAATGAATTAACTACGAAACTAAACTATAAACATCCTCCAAATTACTACCTATCATTCAGCACAGAACGTAAAACTAATAGTACCAGGTGTGAAGACGCCCCGAACGGAGATTATGATAGAAAAAGGCGAAAACTTCTTACGACAGCCATCGATAAAAGTCCACCTCAAACACTCCCTTTTCACAAAACCACCGACTGTGAGTCAGCACCAATATACATTGCCTGGTGGAGTCGCTAAGATTTTGCTTCAGTAATGAGGTTTGACAGTCACCGCTGAAAGACCTTCACGACGAAGTCGAAATCGAGGTTACACCTGGAGCTAATTTTTAAACTGGATAATCAAATAATCAGATGGGTCATGACGAAACACAACAAGAGGAAGCGTTCGCATCGGAGAACATGGCCGTACACACCTGTTCTGGCTTGAACAGACCAGAATACTATGTTGTTCCCATCTTTCGCCAGTCACCGACATACTTTCCGTTTTTCGGCTTGTCGCCGAAGCAAGGTGGGGGCTAATTTCTCTCTCAAGGATATTCACAAATAAAACACCCTTCAAAAGATTCAAACAAGGCATCTGAAGATTAAACCCGACCTCTTTGCCACTACGTCACCACACATCAAAACTGACGAACTTGACAACCACATGAGGAATTCATGCAACGTCTTCAAAGCCAATAAGTACACAAGAATGGGCTCTCTTTAACTGAACGTCCCAAATAGACTTACACAGAATAAATAACTGTGAATAATTCGACGTAACGAAAGATTTTAAGGAAACAGTTAACGACAACTAACTTTGAGAACAGGCAGACATTCTGTTTCTTCGGAAACCTGCATGTATGACTTTAAACGCAGACTATCATTCAATGAAAGCAAAGAAATTGTTTCTGCGATGACTGTTGGACCATGTTGAACCTAAGAAAGTTAACAGCGGATGCAAATACAAGAAAACACCCACTAGCAAAAATATGGACTCTAAGTAACCTGTCAACCAAGACTTTACCACATCAACATTTGCTGAGACAATCATATAAATGCTGCAATAAACTCCACAGAAAGAACGATATGCTGCCCTGCAAACGTCTAGAACAGTGTCGTTTTCAATTAACTAGTGAACAACAGGCCGTTACGCATTAAAAAAGCACTCTGACATAAACGTTATATTAAAGATTTGCAAAATGTACTCCATTTTCAAAGCGCGAATGCTGGAAAATTTGTATTTATGAATTAAGCATGGATGAATATGCTCTAATTTGTAATAGACTGGCACTCAATTTATAAGTATGAGATTATGATAGTCGAGATAGACTTTTAATAATAACAACTGATATACTTAATCTTTCAAATTCTACAAACCAATATAGGATCACTAGGTACAGAAACAAATTTTCACCTAACACGGAAATCTATTTTTGCTGATCTCAACTTTTAAAAAATTTGTCCTTTGAGGGTAGTCATGTTCATCTCATTATTAGGGGCAGTATATTACATCACGTCGGATTCTGAGAACAAGAAATATGATCTAATAATACAAAGCTCCGCCATGGCCGTTCCCAAGCCCGGATGAGAAAGGAGGAGGGTTGGAGACCGTGGCAAGTCTCCGTAA